TGTATATGTATATGTATGTGTGTATGTGTGTGTGTGTGTGTATATATGTGTGTATGTATATATATGTGTGTGTATATATATGTGTGTATATATATATGCGTGTATGTATATATATGTATATGTATATATGTGTGTATGTATATATATGTATGTGTATATATATATATGTGTGTGTATGTATATACATGTGTGTGTATGTATATATATATGTGTGTGTATATATATATATGTGTGTATGTATATATATATGTGTGTGTATATATATATATATGTGTGTGTGTATGTATATATATATGTGTGTGTATATATATATATATATGTGTGTGTGTGTATGTATATACACGTGCGTACGAAAAATTTTGGAGAAAAATATAAAAGGATGGAAATTGGGGAGAAAAAAAGTGGAAAAAAAAATAAAAAAAGAGATGAAAAAAAAATAGGTAGGAAAAAAAAAATGGTAGAAAAATATAATGGTTTTATGTAAAAATATAATGTATTTCATATAAAAATTTTGATGTAAAAAATAGTAAGTAGAAAAAATTGGAGATGAAAAAAATGGGTTAAAAATTGGGGGATGAAAAAATTTGGATGTAGAAAAATATGTAGTAGAAAAATTTTAGTACCACACACACAACGTACGTACCCCACACACGCAGCATCCAAAGCACCACCACACAGGCACCACGCACACACACAAAGGCAAGCACACACACACGCACACCGCACACACACACCGGCACGAAGCACACACACACGGGACGACGCACCCCACACGGGAGACGCACACACACAACGTGCAAAAAAAGCCCCCCGCACACCCCCACGACACCACACACAACGGCCCCCGTAGACGCCCCACACAACGTGCGTACGCACCCCACACACACCGGCCCCCGACGCACACACACACATTACCGACGTACGCACACACACACCGGACGACACACAAGCGACGTACGCACACACACACACGGACGCACCACAACACACAGGGCAGCAACCCCACACACAGGATGCACACACACACACACAGTGCAGTAGAGCAAAATTATGGGAGTAGCACACAAACATCGGTGCAGACATAAACATGGGGGATGCACAAATCTTTTGTTGGGAGACACAAATAACATTGGGGTAGTAAACAACAGGGTAGCAACAACAACAATGGGCAGAGCAACACATAGGAGAGCAAAACACAACAAGGGCATGAGCAACAACAGTGTGCCCCCAAACAGTAAAAAAATGGGATGAGATTAAAAAAACCCCAAAAAGGTAGCCGGAAAAACAAGAAAAAGGGAGACAAATATAAAAAACAGGGAAAACAATATGGGAAAAGGATGAAAAAAGGGGGAGATGAAAAAAATGGATGGGAAACAACATGGTGAGAAAAAAATGGAAAAAAGGGAGTATTTTAAAATTATGGTATTTTATGAAAAAATTTTGGGAGATGAAATTTTTAGGTGAAAAATAAAATGGGTTTTAAAAAAATGGGACAGAAAAAAAGTGGTGTAGAAAAAATATATAAAAATTGGGATGTATTTAACAATTATATAAATGTGTATGAAAATAAAATTGGTTTTATGAAAAAAAATGATGAAAATATAAAATGTAGAAAAATAATTGGTAAAAGGATGGATAATTAAAAATGGATGAATATAATTAAAATTTTGTAAAATATAAAATTATGTTATATATTGATTTTAATATATGGTGTGTGGTAAAAAATTGGAAAAAAATTGGGGAACAAAATATAAAAAAATGTTTTTAAAAATAATTTTTGGGTTTTTAAAAAATTTTTGAAAATTTTACGCACCACACACACAGCGCACACACACACACACACACCAGCACACACACAACCCACCGCACCACACACACCCCACACGGGGCCCCACACACACACGCACACACACACCGCGCACACACACACATGCCCCACACCCCGCACACCACACACACGCGCGACACAACCCCAAAAACCCACGTGCCCCCAAAACCCCAAAGTGAAAAAAAAAAAAAGTGGAAAAATACCCCAAAAATATGGAAAAAAAATAAACAAAGGGGAGAAAAAAATTTTTTAGACAACACAAAAAGGGGGTTTTAAACAACAAGGGTTTTACACACAACAACATGGTGTGTAACAAAAACACAACAATGTGGGACAACAAAACATAATATGTGGTTTTATAAACATAAATTGTGTATACATATATGTGTTGTAATTTTATAATAATATGTGTTGTATATTTTTATTATAATGTGTGTTTTTATACATAATGTGTTATACATATACATTTTTGTTACATATTTTTTTTATATTTTGTGTATGTATATACATTTTTTATACATTGTGTATGTATATATAATATAATTTTTGTTGTATAAAAATTGTGTGGTATGTAAAAATAAAAAATAAAAAAAAAAAAAAAAATGTGTTTTAATTTTATATATATATATGTGTTTTTGTATAAAATTTTATTGTAATTTTATATAAAATTTTTAAAATTTATATGTGTTTTGTATAATTTTTATTTATATATGTGTGGTAATTTTATATTTTTATTTAAAATTGTGTTTTGTTTTTATATATATATATTTTTTGTGTGTATATATATAATATGTTTGTATATATATATATATATATATTTCATATATGTTTTTAATTTTAAAATATATATATATATTGTGTGTGTATTTTATATAAAATGTGTGTGTTTAAAAGTAAATAATAAGTGTGTATTATAATATATTTACTATGTTTTAAATATGTGTGTGTATGCCCCTATATGTTTTTTGTGAACATAAAGTGTGGAAAACAATGGTTGTGTATTATATAAAATGTGTGTGTTGTAAAATATAAAGTGTTTTTTGTGTATGTAAAATAATAAATTTTTTGTGTTGCAAAATATATGTGTGTTTTCATATGTATTTCAAAATTAAATGGTTTTATTAAATATATGTTTTGATAAAACACATATTTATGTGAATTATTTTTAATATATGTGATAATGTGTTTTTTGTTTTTAAAAATATTTTATGTAATTTTTATGTGTGTGTTTTTGTTTTTATAAAGTTTTTTGTTTTTTTGTTTTTATAATTTTTTTAATGTAAATAATTGCAAAAAGTAATACAAATGTTTTTACTACAAATGATCAAACACATATATACGCACAAAACACACACACACAAAGCACGCACACACAACACATTTTACACACACACAATAGTTTTCGCAAAAAAAAATAGGTTTTTTTTTTATGTACAAAATAATAAAGTGTTTTTCAAATTTTAATATACATTTTGTTTAAAGTACAATAATATATGTTTTTAAAATATGTGTTTTTAAAATTTTTGATGTTTTTTAAATTTGTAAAAATAATTTTGATGAAAAAAATTTTGATGAAAAAATTTTTTGCAATATTTTATGAATATAAATATGTAGAAAAAAATAGATGAAAAAAATTTTTGGAAAAAATTATTAGTTTTAAGAAAAAAAAAGGGGAAAATTTTTAAAAAAAAGGGGGCACAAACAAACAGCAAGGGAACAACAAGGGGAGCAAAACAAACAGTTTTTTTTTGGAAAAAAAAAAAAAATTTTGGAGAAAAAAAGTGGTAGAAAAAAAAATTTTGGGAGAAAAAAAAAAATTTTGGAGAAAAATAGTGGGGAGAAAATAGGAGGTAGAAAAATATGTGTGTGTGTGTTTTTATATATGTGTGTGTATATGTATATATATATATATGTGTGTGTGTGGTATCTATATATATATATATATGTATACATATATGTGTGTGTGTGTGTGTGTACATATATATATGTGTGTATATGTATAGACACATATGTATGTGTGTACATATATATATATATATATATATATATAGACACATGTATATATACATATGTACTATATATATATATATATATATATATATATAGATATATATATATATATATATATATATGTAAATGTATATGTATATATATAAATGTGTCTATATAGATTACGTATGTCTGTGTTTGTGTGTATATATATATATATATATATATATATATATATATATATAAAATGTATATGTATACATATATAAATGTGTCTATATAGACATGTATGTTGTGCTTGTGTGTATATATATATATATATGCATATATAATATACATGTTATGTTTGTGTGTATATATATATATATGTGTGTGTCATATATGTATGTGTATATATATATATATATATATATATATATATATATATAATACTTTTCACCTATAAAAATAGATAACAGATTTATTTTCATTAAGTCATTTTTTCTGTTTTCTATGCATATTTAGTTATGCGTCTGTGTACAGTTAATTATATAAAAAGTATGTCTATTCATTAGTTGGAAATACAAGAAGCTAAAAATTTGTTATGTGTACAAATATTTGTTTTCCCCCCACCGTGTATACATACATACACACTCACAAATATATCTCATTAAAAGAATTAAAGATATATGAAAAAAAATTGTGTACCTGATATTGTTTTTGTTTTTAGCATTGTGTTATTTTGTATTTCTTGTTGATTTATTAAATTACTCTCGCTAAATTAGAAAAGGATCTTTTTTGATGAAGTATTAATTTGACTCTTTGAAAAAACCTGATTTAAAATTAAACGAAGAAGATGACCTCAAAACTGCAAACTCTGAATCCTACAAAATCTTTTCTACAAGAACTGAACTGGTGTTTGAGTGTGTAAGTCAAGAGAAATAGGGATTTTTCTCAGACTAAATAAACATCACTGAAAGCAGGTATTAGTCATACTTGTGCATGAAGGACAAAAAGGGGGACATTATATAATTAACATCATTTGGCACTTAACAGGTAAAATAGCTAACATACTAATTTGGAATTGTACATTTTAAAGGGTTTTAGATTTTAAGAATATTCCAAAATTATTCTTGGAACATTCTGATAATTGTGTACAGATTGTACTTGAAACTCTACATGTATTCTTTGATTATATTTGCAGGTATCATGGCAATATCAGCCGGGAAGAAACAGACCGAATTATGGGTGATAGTGATGGTGCTTATCTTGTTCGGAAGAGCGAACGTGCCCCCGATGCCTTTACTTTGGCCATCAAGTATGTTAACAAAAATTTACTTTTTTCTCATTTAACAAGTATGAGATGTAAAAAAAAAATGACTTTGGTTTGTCAAATTTCAAAACTTTCTTTAAAAACAAATATATATATAAATTATAGTAATATATTTATATAAACAAAGGAAAGAAAAATTTTCTTTTCTTATAGAAATTAATTATCACTTTCCTTTTGTTATATATGAATTTATTTAGTTAACTTGCTATAGCGTAATGGTTAGTAACTTTGCAACATATGCATTCATTTGTGTAGCAAGTGTGTTCATTACATATCCCATACAAAAGCTTGGTAAATAGTCACATTTAAATTCTGGTTTGAATATGAAACAAAAAAATTTAAATGTTTACTTAACTTAATTTAGTCTGGCATAAGGCCACAATTGTGAGTCCCAGTGACAGGCTTACAAGGTTCCATATAACTCGCATAGAAAGAGACATGTATACATGTTTATTCTTTTTCTTTTCTTTCTTCCAGATTTGACGGGCAAACAAAAAATTTCAAATTATATTATGATGGACAGCATTATGTTGGTGAGAAACGATTTGATACGGTCCATGACCTGGTTGCTGATGGTCTGATTACCTTTTATCTGGAGTCGCGTGCACCTGACTACATCGAATCCATGTCCATTTCCAACTATGCTGAGTCCCCTTATCTTGCCTACAGTACGAAGAAAAAACGATTGCAACGTTCGACAACGAGATCAACCAACAATCAAAATAAACAGAGCCCTGAAAATACGTCGACAGAAAACAACACGACGGATGAACAGGTAAAGAGTCATCAGGCTGACTTTTTGTTTCCCTCTCTAACTTTACACAAATATTTTTTGTTATACCAAAGGTTCTTGAAAGAAGACATTGTTTTCAGGAATCTACAGTTTTTTTTTTGTTTTTTTAACTTTTTTTTTTATTTTATTTATTTTAATCATGTGCATACTTGATGAGTAATAGCTAAGTGTCAGGCATTTGATTAAAAAATAGGGGTTCAGAATACATGTTGTTCAATACCTACTGCTTGCTTGGAGAAACATGTTATCTTGACAAGCATCATTGTCTTTGAGGATGTGGGTTCGTGTGCAAGTCATTGTCAGCTAATGCTTTAATTTCCAGAATAAAAATAAGCATTCAGTAAATATTGATCCTGTATAAACCAGAGCTACAATATTTAAATAATAATGTGGCTCCTGTACAAGAAATATATGCCACTTGTCTATAAATAACCGAAAATGAATTTTGCCAATAAAATTCTAAAAGAAGATTTCTCCTTTTTTGTCTTCCACTCCTTTGTTTTAATAAAGCTTCTTGATTTTTTTTTTTTTTAATCCCGTGATCCATAGGGGCCACATGTACTGCAGTTGCAGTAGAAGTGGTATTTCTTGGGCAAGATAGCTTGACAAAGCCCAACTCTCTTTGAATCAGAGTTTTTTTCTTCTTCTAGACCAGTTGCCACCGAAGTCTCTATAGAACCCAGTCTGTCCTGATATTTACCCATAAGTGTGTGTGTGTGTGGGGGGGGTCATTCTTTTCCCAAGGGTATTAGCATGTAATTTGATTCATTGATTTGGAAGTATTTAAATTTATGTCCTATAACAAAGGGAGGTTAGCTTTTTATTTAAAAAGAAACTTTTTTTCTTTCTTTTTTTTTAAAATTTTGGCCTCTACTTGAATATTGTTCTCTCATCATCATTTCAGACATCCCAAGATCCAGATGATATACCTGCTAATGTTCAGGAATATGAAAAAGCACATTGTTTCAAAGTAAGTTCATCAATTTTCATTTTTACTTGATATTTCTTGTCTCTCAAATAGAGATTGGAATAAGATTTTTCTGTTTAAGTTGGAAGAACATTTTATTCTCATTAAAAGCAGTTGAATAGCTTACCAATATCATACCAATCATTTCAAAATATAAGACTGTTAAACATGTCTGCATTTTCAAAAGGAACATTTGCAGGCCTTATTAGAAATATTATTCAATTGTACGTTTTTGGGGTTTCATTTTTTATGAAGTCTACGACATATTTCCCAATTCCTTGAATTTTACAATGAATAAAAGTAACAAAGGATTATTACCAAAGAAATTTACATCGTGACAAAGTAAATAAAATGAGTTGTAGTGATACATAAATGACTGCCTAATTAGCATAGCTAAGGCATAGACTATACATGCCCAAGCAGTAAGAGTGGGGCAGCTCTCAGTATACGCGATAAACGACTACTGCTGCACTGATAAAATACAAATGAAATCACACTTTATAACATGATTCAAGTGGATCATTTACTTTTTATAATTGTGTTTGTTTTTCTCTTTTGGGCAAAATATTTAAATTATAAGTGTGAGCAAAAAATATATAATCAACTCGTATTTAAGTTTAACATAAATTCATTCAATTTTTGACTGAAATTTAAAATTTTTACATTTTCAAAATTCTTGATACAAAATAAATTGCATTTCATACTGTTTGCTTTTATGAAATTTATAACAAAACGGCCAATGAAATTAAATCAATTTGTAAAGCTTAATTTTAAAACATAACTGCCATATTTTCTTGGTCATAATATGAGAAATTTTGAATGAAAGTTAAATGCAAAAAGTAGGGGGGTGTATATTATACACCAAGTACACGTTTTCAGAAATTTTTACCCCCATTTAAAAATTTTCTTATTTGAAACAGCAAGATTACAAATACACTCAGCACAGAAAAAAAATGAAAATAAGTTTTGAAACAGAAATTAGGAGAAGAAACACACAATGTCTAAACATCCAGTTCATTTCTATTCTTTAATATTGTAAGAAATTAAATGTTTTACTGAAATATATCTATGACATGGAGATTTTAATGAATAATATGGTACAACTTTAAAAAAAAAATGTTTACATAGGCATTACAGTATTACAGGATCATATTATACTCAAGGATGTAATTTATTCCCTGATTTAGCTTCAGAAACAGAGTTGTATCATACTGAGTCAATACAGTAATAAATTTTTCAAAGATTTTTCTTAACCTAAAAAGAAAATACCCGAAATGATTCTCACCTGCTGCTGTTAATCAGCCAGAAATGATACCTATTCAATTATTAATAGATAACATGTACCTTTTAAGTTGCTGATTTTCCAAACAAAACTGATTACAAAACTTTGGGATTAACGGTTTTAAAATAAAACATCATTGCAACATGACAAATACGTCAATTATTCTTTTATATCAATATTTTTGTTTTTTAAAACAAGAATTTTTGAACTTGTAACTGCCTGCTTCTACTCTAGAAATCCATAGTTTATTCCTTAGACTAGGCTATGTGGAAATAAAATGGTGCTATTAGGAGGAAAAATTGGCAATTGTAAATTAAAACATTAATCTCTATGAAGAATTGTAGACATAGAGAGGATGGAAGCTACATGCTCTTTCTCCCTCTCTGGATGGTGTAAAGGAGTTGAGTGCAAAATTCTTTGACCAGATTTGAGAGAAAGGCTGGAGAATAACAGGCAAAATTTAATAATAAAAACAAATAAATGAGGATTCTGGAAAAAATTCTAAGATACTGACAAAGAACCATGCCATCTCTGAACTCCAAACAAATACATAGAAATTATTAATCCTTTAACTGCAAGAAAAATTGTCTATTTGTGCCAGAGAAATGCAAGGATGGAAGATTCAGCAATCCACAATTAATGGGTTAATTTTTTTAATATTTCTTTCATTTTAATTTTAATTGCTTTTTATTGCAATTAAAATGAAATAAATACTAATAAAAAGTAAATAACTGATAATACTTTATCTAATAAAACACAAGATGCTGTTGCTACTACTTGGAACAGTAAACAAAACATCTGACAACAGCACCAGTTCTTCAGGAAAAACATGGTTCGAGTTGAACCATTGTAATAATTAGCTTTAGTAGCTCAAGCAGTGGAGCAACTTCCTGAGGGCAAAAGGAACATGAGTTCAAGTTTCATTAAAGGCTTATTCTTTATTTCTGAGCCACACCTTCTACTAATAGCTGTAAAATTGTAGCTGTGATGAAAAGAAACTGAAAATAAGATGAAAAAAATCCAAATAAAAAATTTGATGATGCTTTAAGAAATTCAAACAATTTAAGATTATTACTACCATTTTTTTTTTTTTGTTTTTTAAACATTTCACCCTAGACAATGTGATAATGCCATTAAGATACAAGTGGTTACTGGGAGTGAAAGAAAATAAGAAGACTTTAGAGAGGAGAAAGGACAATAAAAGAACAGTTTCAGAAAGACAGAAGATGGCATTTAAATTTTTGAAGGTCATAGATGACATGGATGCAAGAAACCAGAAGAAAGTTCCGCAGGCAAGAAGTGCGAGAAAAGTAACTATTAGAATAGAGCTTATGGTTACATTTAGATATTTCAACAGTAAGATAAGCCCTATTTGTCAATTTAGTAGTACATTTAAATTTATGCAGTCAAATTACCAAGGAGGAAAGCTCATTGCTGTGAAACTACTTGTAGAAAAGACAGAGGGTAGCCACATCACAGTAGGGGGAAAGTGACTGAGGTCGAGATGCCAAATCAGGATTGATTACATAACAGATTCTTTGTATTTTGTTGGGAATCTCAAGATATATAGCAGGAGAACAAGTCCAGAAACAGCAGCAATATTCAGTGAATGGTAGGTTTATAAATGTTCAAGATGGATTCTGACAAGAAGAATTGTATGGTACAATACAATGAACCAACTTACCTTGCAACAGATCTAGCAATTGATTCAATATATTCATTCCACTCAGTGGAAAACATAAGACCTAGAAAGTGCAATAAGTTGCTCTCTTGGAGGTTAGCATCAGCCATGCTGATGGAAGGCAAAATATGGTTCTCTATGAGAATTAAGACATCAGTTTCATTTTGGAGATATTAAAATTTATGAGCATTTCTTGCCCCAGTTAACAACTGATTGGAGGCCATTTGAGAGCAGCTGCCAGTTTTGCTTTGTCAGACCTAGTGGACTTACTATTAAGACAAGAGTAAATAGTTATCAGTATAAAGATAGTTGGGAACTAAAGACATCAGGAAAGTCATGATGATGGTAATAAATAATGTATGTGCAAGGGGACCCCCACATTAATATGAATGAATCTAAAAATGAGGCCATTCAACATGACTTTCATCACATGATTTAGTAAGAATGTTTGGATTAAATGAAATATCTGGCTAGAGACACCATAGCTCTTGAGTGCTCGAAGAAGGTCAGTACTATACTAAATACTGTCAAATGCCTTCAAAATATCTAAAGCTATACTCCAAGCCTTGCCGTTCTTATCTAGAGTTTGATAGACAAATTCAGTAATAATTAACTAGTTAACACATAGGTTGTTGTAGAAATAAGGGAAAAATAAATACTAGTGAACAATTAATTGGAAATGTTTTATCTAAGTAAATTTCAAATCAATTTTAGTTTTCTGTAACTTTTACTTTAATATGAATCATAGATAACCCTCCAAATATTTATTTATGTGTTTCTCTCTTTGATTTTAGGTAAATTAAGAATTGATTTGTTCTGGTGATTCTTTCTTTCATTGTTTAAACCAGTGTTTCTCAACATTTTTAAGCAACTGCACACTTGGAAGCAAATGAAAATATCACAGCCCACTTAGCAAAATTTTTAAGCTGTATGCACGTTATGAAATAAAACCATAGTTTAAAAAAAAATACACACACAAATATGAACTTATTTTATTTCAATATTTTTATTCAACTATTCCTGCAGTTTATTTAGTGTTAAACTTGTGCCTGGTGTTTCTTAGGATTTCTTCAATGTTTGGTTGTATGTACGATAAGCAGACCCTCATCTCTTCTTCAGTTGAGCGTGGTCTTTCTCATTTCTTATTTTTTGTGTCATTTAGTGTGGAGAAGCCTAATTCACATAAATAAGAAGTAGAAAATTGCAATAAAACTGATAAAGCCTTTTTAGCTAATATGGGATATTCCTTTTGCATTGAAATCTAAAATGTATCAATAGGTACTGTCGAATGTTTTATTTTGAGCCCTCGATCACTAGAAATGGTGGCCAATTCTTCTTTCTTTTTCTTCACATAACTGAAGTCCAATATTAGAAGGAACATAGTAAGAAGAATTATTTGAAAAAAAAAGTTTAACACTTATTCATTTATCCAAATATTATCACTGTATCATAATTACTTCCATACGCACATAAAGATATATATCTGTATGCCATAATAACATTTCACAGCACACTTAAGAGGATCATGTCACACTAGTGTGCTGCAGCAGAATAGTTGAGAATTACTGGTCTAAACTCTTAATTGTATTTCAACACAGTTTGGATGAAACAATTCTTTCAATTCTACACAGTTTAAAATTATAATTTTCTTTTGTTCCAAGTACTTAGTACGTAGCCCTGGGAAAGCACATACTATACAGCTAACAAAATGATTGTTTGCATTGACTATGATCCCAACTAAGGTTAATTTCTTTTTTTTATTTTATAAATTATCAATTTACAAGGCACTTAGATTAATTCATTTTTTTTTTTTTAATAAAACCTTATTAAATAAATATGTAAATATCTACTTGTATTCAAAAAATATTCTGTGATTGTTTAATTTTTACGGAAATATTCACAAAAAAAAATTGATTTGGTTATTTCCCCTTGATCTTATTCCAAGACTTTTTGGTATTGCAGGTGCAGAATTTTATAGGTCTCCATTGGTGTGACTTCTGTGCCAACTTTATGTGGGGATTAATTGCTCAAGGTGTCAAGTGCCAAGGTAAGAAACCCAAGAGTTATGTCCCTTTTTCTTCCTTAGATTTGTTTCATTCTACTGAAACTTTACATTCGCTTTATTTAAAATGACACTTCACTCCCAAAATTACTGTTACCATTTTAATCTTGGAATTGGTAAGCCAATTTCATCAGCATCAAGAACATATTTTATTTCAAAATTTTGTTAGAACAATCAATTTCAAGTCTCAAAATGAAGGTTCAGTACAAAACTGACCACAGGTGGTCCTTGGCTAAGATCTATTCTATTAAAATGTTAGTGTATATATATATATATATATATATATATCCTTTTTCTTTTTTAAACATTCAATTTGTGCTTACCTTGACAAATTATGGCTTCATTACAAGATGACTTATTTCTGAGAATAGGAATTATGAATATCAGGAAAAGTTCTAAGGATAAAAATAAAATGCCTGTTACCTAAGGTAACGTAATTTTGTTTGGCTTTCAAGAACATTTGAATATAAATTTTAAAAGCAGCAGAAATTGTATTTTTCTCAAAACAACAAAAATGGATGTTCTTGTCATCATGTTTAAATTTCTTTATTTTTTCTTTTTAAAGATTGTGGGTTTGAAGCTCATAAAAAATGTTCTGAAAGAGTTCCAAATGACTGCATGCCGGACATGAAGTACGTTAAACGACTCTTTGGTGCCGACCTAACAACTGTGGTAAAAGCCCAAAACACCCCCATTCCAGTGGTTGTGGAGAAGTGCATCAAAGAAATTGAACACAGAGGTGAGTCTCTCGCTCACTCACACAAAACATCGACATTAAAAAAATTATTCATATTTTGTCTCCTTGAATATATTGAATATTTTATAAAATTTATTGATAAAGTTAGAAAAACAAATTTAGTATTCAGTAACTAACAGAACTTTGCTAAACAAAACAAAGAATAATTTGTATAGATGTGTGGTTGCTGTAATGGATATTGATGCAAAAGGTGGAATTGGTGCACTGAGTTCAAATTCCAGGCTAGCCAATTGCATTCACTTTCACATAAATGTTTTTGGGAGACGTATAAATCCATCTTTTCTCTCCCCAACTATAGGTTAAATAGACTGGATTCGCTAGCATTGGATGGACAGGGAAGTGAAACCAGTCTTAAGAGATAGACATCTATGAAATTCAAACTGTGGTGAAGACAATGGGAAATTACTTCTCTCTTTCACAAAAAGTCATAGCAATTCACAGATAATTAAAAAAAGAATAGAAAGGAATCTGTGGAGAATTATGATTGCCTACATCCTGAAGGAACATGACATTTTGTTTTTTCAACAATGTCCTCATCTCAAAATGTTTTTATGTATGAATTTAAGTTTCTCATGTAATTTCCAAAATATTTCAAACGGAACAGAATTATTGACATTTTATATGTTTGCTCTTTAGGATTTGGTTCCTGTTAAATAACATTAAAATGGATTTTTGGAAACAGGTATCCCTGGAATTTTATAAACAATAAAGAATGTATAAAATATATTGTAATGGGGGTAAGGAGATGTTGAAAATTTTTGAACCTGACCTAGAACCCCATGAAAGGTCCAGGCTATTCCTATATATATACGGTCACCCTACAATTGAATACATTTGGAATATAATTTCTCACATTTCTTTAAGCCTTCTTAAAAACAAAATTCTTGTTTGTTCATTGAAATATTGATTTTGAGAAGTTGTGCTGAGAACTTTTCAGCATTTCCTTGTATTTAAGCAACAACTTTTTATTAATGCATGTTTGCTTAAAGGTAATAAGTTTTTTAACTTGTTTCTGTACAAATGACACAAGAACGGTTAAATTATAACCTCTTTTACTACTGCCTACACTCATTGTTGTCACCATTTTTAGTAGCCCAATCCTCAGGGTTATAGCGAAGGAAACGGCGACTTACCTCGTCAAACCAAGCAACAGCGCGTCGCATGTATTCTACGACGGAAAAAGTGGCGAAAAAGAAAATTACTTACCAAACAGAAGGGCACATATTCCGCATAACAAGCTGAAAATGGAATAATTGAATTAAAAAAAAAAAAACAAGTCCATCACAGAAATCGCTATAAAAGTATTTTGATATGCAAATTATGGAACATCCTATCCTAGCTGTTGACGAATGAAAAAATAGGTTCTGCTGATAAAAGCAGTTGGTGTTCTCGATTCAAGAGCGGAACATTCAGGCATTTTTGGCTATGGCATTTGTTAGAGAGTGAGTTATTTTTCTGACTGGTTACACACATTGTGATTTGGGGTAGTACCGGCTAATCGAGTTTTCAGTATTTCTTTCTGCCTCCAATATTCGAGTCTGTACTTACAGTAATTTTTCTTTGTGTTGTGGAAGTAATCTGCGACAAATACTTCCTTTGTTTTCAGAACGCTTACAAGGGTCTTAGGACAATGTTTTAACCACATCCAATGGTCAATGCTGACGCTGGTCCAAGCTGGTTGTTGGTTGCTGGCCACTTCAATCCACATCAACTCTTTTCACGTTGTGTTTTTAATCTCAGAGCAGTGGAAGATTGGATGTTGTAGTAATTGCAGCGTTGGTTCAGGCTGTGATAGGTGCCATATTAAAGAAGAAATATCTTAACAGTTAAAAATAAAAACAAAAGATTCTTTGGTTATTTGGTTTATATAGTTCTTGGTAAAACAAAAATTAACTCTTCCTGTAACAATCTCTATAGTGACACTGTGCTTCACCTAATAATCTGGGGTTCAAAGTTCTTTAGAATCAGGAAATCTGGGGGTAGCTGATGTGGATTCCAGAGACACTCAGTGCAGAGTTCTCAGACCAAGTCTTTGTGCTCTCAAAGCTATCTGCTTATATGCACTTCAGTCCAAAACTGGCATGGGAATGAAGTGTTATTGGAATTTGTTGATTTTTCAATTTTCCTATTAATCCCAATAAAGATTCTTTGTTCCCTATTTTTGATTTCTTAATCAACTTTCTAAATTTGGAGAATTATCCACCTTCTTGGGAGTAGTTACAGAGATTGCTCCTCCCTTAAACTACAACCTCCTTCATTTAACATCTCCCCCAACCACCACCACAGAGGTGGCACCAAATTCTCCCTCTTCCTCCTTCCTTCTCAGCATTCCACCTTAGCCTACTTCCCAGGACAAGCATAACTGTCTTTGTGACAAATCTAATTTTTAAATCATGTGGGTGAAAGGGCATAGTTTATTCTAGTCATTAATCGTAATTCTCTTGTTTCCTCAAAGAAGAGATAAAATTATTTCTCCTTTCTTGGACTTATTTATGTCTAGTGAAAACCAGATCACTTATTCGACAATGACAGGATCTGTTTTCATAGCTTCAACCCTCAAAAGGGGTTTCTTCCTTGTTTACATTTCCCAATTTGTTTTCCTCAACAAAAATATAAGCCCCATCTGTCTCTCTTCCTGTTAATATTTATTTGCCTAAATTCTCAAAAAAGAGATAAAAATGTTTCACCATTCCAGCTTACATTCCATTTTGGACTTTAACCTTTTCTGCTCAGAATTAACATTTAACCACTTCATGGCCCCAGTGTCACAAAATAAATTTAAAATTTCTCTGTTGTTTTTAACCAAAAATTTGAGAAAGCAAAATTTGAATACTAACCTTTTTATAAAACTTAGTAACAGATTTTACAAGTAAGTGAATCTGCTCCTAGTGCTCAGTTGGAATAGGATTAATTTGATAATTTAGTGTGAAAAGCTTAGCAAAGAGAAGTAACTTGGATTTTGCTAGTATTCCAGAAGAACTCTGGGATTTTTTCTATTTATTTTTTGTTTTTACTTGGAATCCACCATTTTGAACGAAAGGACTGAAGAAAGTGAAATTTGAATAAGATGAAAATTTGAATATAAGAGAAAAAATCCAGATGTTTGGGTGTTTAAACTAGACAAGAAAAATATCAGTCTAAAGAAAACTATTAACTTGACAATACAGGTGAGATTTTTTTTGAAAAAGCAAAATGATCATGCGATAAAACTTAGATGGGGACTGGATAGAGATTCTTTTGTGAACAAAATGATAGATTACTGTTTGCTAATCATTAATTTTTCCTGTCCACTGGTTCGAAATGTGATTCCTTAAAAAAAAAATGCTATAGTTCAATTTTGTGTCAACAGGTAGAAAATAGATCCTGGGTTAAATTATAATTTGATCAGATAATGTTAATTGGATGAGGAAATCTAGTTGGTGACATAGCCATTATATATATATATATATATATATATATATTGTGACTTTCCAAGCATAGCGTAGATGTGGTAAAAGGCCAAAAGTGTGGAACACCCAGTGAGGATTGAACTCACTACCAGGCTGTAATGGCTTTAGTGAAATATGCTTGTTAACCATTACACCACCTCAATCCAAAGTCAAAAATGTTCATTTTTATAATAAACCAAAATATTGAAAGAAATAGAAAAGTTTTTGGATAGCAGCCTCAATATGGCATTAAGCAATGAATGTCCCTTTTGATTGCAGTTTTCATCAAGCATTTTTTTTTGTTTTCTTGTTTTTTTTCTACCAGGTGTTGATTTTGAAGGAATGTATCGAGTGGCAGGTTTCCATGACGATATTGAAATGGTACGAATGGCATTTGACAGAGGTATGTAAGAATTTTTTAGCCTTTAACAAATGGTACCATTTTAATGCCTCTATGCAACAATGTGTGTGGAGAGGGGTCTTCGCCGTCCAAGAATTGATACAACATGAATCTTTGTTTTCACATTTCAACACTGTGATTGACCTTTTCACTAAAAAGGTCTAAATTTTTATACACTTTCTGGTCATTAGTTTAAGAAGTTGCTAAATAGAGCAAAAATATCGATCTTCCAGATGGGGTGGGTCTTCTTATTTTGGAAATAAATATTTGAAATCTCTGCTTTTCTTTTTCTTGGGTTTTAACACTGACCACTGGCTCCAGTAAAAAATTGTTTCAAGATAATTTTATTTTTGAAGATTATCTTTGTCTTCTAAAACAATTACACTTGATTTTATGCTATAACTTTGATTTTTTTTTTTTTCTTCATTGTCTCTTGTTCCCTGCCCAAGTGTCCCCAAAACACAATATTCTTGGTATCATCACTTGGTAATAGTATTGGTCTTCATGGCCACCATTGCATGCTGGGAGATAAAAAAAATTTTGCAGGGATTTTGCCCACTGGTTGTTGTGATTCTTGCTGATATTTCAGGTGTGAAACTTGGCAGGTCATGATTATATTTTGGTTTCTGCTAAAAACTAATGTCACAAAACAAACCAAACTCTGTTGATAACTAACTACAGGTTTAATGTAGTTGAGAATTTAAAAGTACATTCAGAGTAAAGAATGATTCCTTTTTTTTCTCTGTAGCCTGGTTGATGATTTTCCACCAGGAAAATTATTCTAGTATTAGTTCATAGTAAATTAAGAGACCTTTACTCAGGCCCTGTATTCTTGTCAATCTGGACTTGTGTATTCATTAGTAGTAAAAACAGTTACAGCAAGAGGGAGAGTGGTTTATGAGTGGAACTTTTCTATCTTCTTGTCCTTTTCTTTCTATTTGTGTGGCAATGTCTGTCTTTCCATTTACATAATGACATTTGTACCTCTCAGACAATGATTTATTACATGCTTTTTGATTCAGTCAGTTATGTGTCGTGCGTGATACACGCTTAAGCAACCATGTATTTTTTGATACGTGACTGATGAAACAGATTTTTCCCACATTAGGTTGCCATTTCTTTCTGCAGCAGACCAGTTGCCATCCAAGGCTATAGAACCCGGTCTGTCCTGCTATTTACCCATAGCTGGGGGGAGAAGAAGAGGATTTATACCTTTCCCAAGGGTATTAGCACATAAGTGAAAGTAATGGATTTGACTTGAATTCGAAATCGGTTCTCCGATTCCTCAATCTGAGCCGCTATCCATTACTCCACTTTTTGTCCAGTAACATATGAACCTCTTTGGAATGCAGTCAGACCAAATCTCTGGACTGGATTTTTGGTAACAATGTGAACATTTGAGGACTAATAGTATTTTGTATAAATATAGCAAGAATTTTTATTTGAATTTAGAAAATTTCAGAAGATCATAAATCTTTATCATATTGCCCCAGAACCAACTGAGTAGGGTTTTTTTTTCTTTTTTAAAAACTTCACCTAAAGCAAACAATAAGAAGCAAGGGGTTACTGAGTGTTAAAATATAAAAAAAAAATACTATCAAGGCAAGAGAACAATAAATAAATAAAAAAAGAATTAAGAAAACAGAAAATAATGATTGACATTGCATTTACATTTTTGAAGATCAAAGTTTACTGGGAGGCAAGAAGCCAGAAGAGTTTCACGAGTGACAAGTGCAATAGAAAAAATTGTTAGCATGGAATTTACAGTTACATCTAGCCATTTGATTGTGATATGTCCTGGAAAGGGATATATTTGAACGAAGTAACTAAGTGGTTTTGGCTACTATAACCAAGTAGAATACGGTAACAGTAATCAACTGGTATGCGTCGTAGTCGCAGGTAAGAAGTGTAGATCAATGGCGTAGTCCAAAGGGTGTCGTTATAGACTTAGCTCTCAGACTAAGGCTCTGACTCTTCTACACGTCCGTCGGTATTTATGACGGACACCAGCCAATCATATTCCAGTGAGGGGGAACACAGGTGTATGTATATTCCATTATATCAGATTGCAAGATGATCAGACCTTGCCGTCAATCTAGTACTGTGCTTAAATTCATAGTCTAAGTACCATAGAGGCAAGTTCATTAGAACAATTACCATGAAAGTTATGTTATAGCAGTGGGAAAGTGATTGAAGCCAAGATGCCAGGCCAGAACCAATTACATTGCAGATTCTTCTTTGGATTTTATCAAGAATCTCTAAATATATAACAGGAGCACTGGACCATATGTGGCAGAAATATTCAAAGCAGGAACGAATGGTAGACTTATGCAAGTTAGATTCTGGTGAGAAAAAATGTCTACCACAACACAGGGAACCAACCTTCCTAGAAGCAGACCTAACAATTGATTCAATATAATCTTTCCACTTCAAGTCAACAGAAAACATTAGTACAAGAAGGCACAATGAGTCAATTCCCTGGAGGTTAGCATCAGCCATGGAAAGTAAAATGGGTTTATCATTGCAGATGATTAAAAGAAAGCAGTTTCATTTTAGAGGAGTAAAAATTAGCAATCTTATTTTTGTTTAAACTGAAGAGAAATCGTGCATTGCAATATTTTAACCTTTTTATTCACATCTCTTTTGCTTTTATTCATTATAGATGGTGAAAATACAGACCTCAGTGAAGATAAATGGGAAGACATTAACATTTTGACCAGTGTCCTGAAATTATATTTCCGATTACTGCCTATTCCACTTGTTTCTTTTGAATCTTACCCAAAGTTACTTGAGGCTGTCCGTAAGTATTACAACAATTGCCTTCATTTCTAGGTTAAAATCACCAAAATATTTTAAAGATCATAGGTGTGTTTTTTTTTTAATATTTCTTTTTTTTATTTTTCCTGACATTGTTTTTGTTTCTGTTTTTTTCAGAAAAGCCAGGATTAAAAGAAAAAGAAAAATTGGTGTTAATCAAAGAAGCTCTTCATTTGCTGCAGCCAGCCCACTATCAGACATTGAAATACCTAATGGCACACTTAGGCAGGTAAGTAATAACCATGAGCACAGGAACGCCCATTGGCTCACTTTGGTGGGTGAGTGATGATCACGAGCACAGGAACGCTTGGTGGCTCACTTGGATGGGTGAGTGATGATCATGGGCACAGGAACGCCCGGTGGCTCACTTGGATGGGCTCGTGATGATCACGAGCACAGGAACGCCCGGTGGCTCACTTGGATGGGTGAGTGATGATCACGGGCACAGGAACGCCCAGTGGCTCACTTGGATGTGTGAGTGATGATCACAGGCACAGGAACGCCCGGTGGCTCACTTGGATGGGTGAGTGATGATCACGGGCACAGGAATGCCCATTGGCTCACTTGGGTGGGTGAGTAATGATCACAGGCACAGGAACACTTAGTGGCTTCCTTGAATGTAGGGGTGATGATCACAATAATTTTATCTTCACTCTGTTCAATTATTCTTGTAATATCAAAATTTTATTCTCAGCAAAACTCTTCACTCAGTTTTTCTCAATTTTGTTCTGTGTAACAAAATGTTGTGCAGCAAGGCTAGAGCTTCAGACTTTCATCCTGAGAATTTGTTTATGGATGCCATTTATAAGTCTGATGTAGTGAAAATATTATATCTTTGGATTTCTAACTTTTTTCTTATTTACATTTGGGCTAAGATCCTCTTTGTTATTATCATGTTTTGGCTCTTGTACCCTAGGGTAAGGTGCACTTGTCAATTCCTTTATTTCATCTCCACAGGTAGATTGTTATCATTCTGTTGTCCATGTCTCTGGATATATCTTGTTTTATTCATTACTGCTCAGTTATTGCTCTCTCTCCCCAACAGAGTCTAGGTCTGCACTACTCTGCCCAAGGATTAAACTCACATTTAATATGTCACCAAATTCACAGACCAATCTACTAGGCTATTGTCCCACGAAATCGACGGATACTTGAAGGAGATTGTAATGCACAACAACTGATATTTTGGTTTAATGACAACAAAGATGAGGATATTAGTTATGTAAATAAAAACTCCTCATCCCAGAAATTTATACATAATTATTAAACTAGATTTCATTATGGACCAAAAATCAAGTTCCAAAATATATATATATATATATATATATATATATATATATATATATATATATATATATATACACACACACACAAACACATTTTTATATATATATTCAAACTCTATATAATATATATTACATCTATATATAGAATGGACTCCTGAATATGGACAGACAGTTATTGATTGAAACGTGTATAACAATCAGATTTGTTTGTTGATAATTAATATTTAATTTTAAAAATAATGAATTCTTAATATTATTAATGGGTTATTGTTATTAATATTTCAAATGGTGGGTTCTTCAACCTACCTCAAGTGCATACTTTCCTTTTTCCTTTGATTCAAAAAGAAACAAAACCTTTTCAAAAGAATTAAGGTGATTCACTAATACTAAGAACAAATTTGATTTGATTCATTTATTTTCTACAGCTTATCAACCCTTTACAGCTTATTTAAAGCCAGAAAATATTTTTCAGTTTGTAAAAATTGTTTTTTAAATAACAATCGTTTAGTGATACAAATCTTACTAATTAGCCCATAGATGGGGGGAGAAGAGGTGGATTCATACCTTTTCCAATGGTATTTGTACATAAGTGAATATAGCAAACCCAACTGGAATTGGATCTTGGCTCTCCAATTAACAGTTGCAAGTCTTTATCCAGTACAGTGTAACCCGGATATAAGAGATTTTCTCTGGTCCCAAATTAGAGCCTGTGTTAATGTAAACAAAATAGACCAAACCTGGATATAAGAGACTTCTTCTCCGGCCCTGACAACTCTCTTATATCCGGGTTACACTGTACATTGAAATACCTAATACCACATATCTGAGCTTACAGCACCTGGTATTCCTAAACGGTCACCCATCTAGTTACTGACTAGGTGATCGTACGGGAACCAGTTTTTCAACATGATGTGGTCATAAGCCTCTAAAACAAAACTGGGGTTTGAATATATTAGCAGTAACAAAGAAACTAGCCTGAATAAAATACGAAACCTTCATACTGAAATTGCAGAGAATGTCCACAAAGTAATCTCTCTCTCTCTGTGCCTTTTCTTTGCAGAGTTGTCGAACAACAGAGCAAGAACATGATGAGTTCAGAGAATCTTGCCATTGTATTTGCGCCAACACTGATGAGGTCACCAGATGCCACTGCAAGTTTGATGGCAGTCAAGCTGGAGCAGACAGTCACAGAGCTTATAGTGTCACACCAGAAAGAATTGTTTTCACGGTGAATGGTCACTGTGTGGCATGGACATGTTGAGCCAATGCATTGGCCACTATCGCCACCATTCTCGACAACTTCAAAAGCATCAATACCACCACCACTACCACCACCACCACTCACCACCACCACTAAAACAGTGTGGATCAATCACATCAAGACCAGAGAAATGAACACAGCACAAGATTGGATTGTGGACCGTATAAATCTTTATTCATCCACTGTTGTTTTCATTTAATCAACACACACCCCCCACCCTCCAACTGTCTCTCTTTCTCCACACTGCCAAGTCAGTTTACTCTATCTACTTGACACTCTCACTATCCTTTCTCCTCTCATCTCTTTCTCACCCTCACCTTATCATCCTCTCTTTCTCTCTAAAACAGTTTGACTACCCCTACAACTTTCTTTCATATGTTTCAATCTCTTTCCATTCTCCCTCCCTCTCTCTGACTTATGAAAATTCTCTCTCTTTCACTCCCCCACATCCTCGCAAGCTGAATTTTATACTGTCCCAGTTATCAACTCATTAATTCAACATGTAAACACAATCATTTGCTGTGTTGCCTGACTCCAGGGACCAAACTGTACATTATTCCTTGGTCTCTGTCACTTCAACACTGATAAGGAATGGAACAAAAATCCCCAAAATGGCCGCCTAAGCTAAGAAGAGAAACAAAACACAAATAAAGGTAGCAAAGAGAATTTGTTCAGCCAAAATCAGAAGTCTCCTATTCTCTTTAAAAAGGCTATCTGCAATTTTTATTTTGTTTTGTTTTTTGTTTCTTTTTTTTTTTCCTCCCTTCCTTCCTTCCTTTTCTGTGTGTTTAGTGACTTTGTTATTCAAGATGAGGGTCACTCAAAAAATTATTCAAGATTGAGGGTCACTCAAAAATCACCAGAAATTCAACAGAAACAAACAAACAAACAATGCAGAAAGAAATCCAACAATGGAAAAGTTAAAAACAAAAACAAAAAAAAAAACAATTTTGAAAAGAAAAACTCAAAATATTGCTGAAAAATAATCACAAACAATGCTTATTATCACTTTCTCCATTTTTGGAAAAAAAACAATAAGAACTGTCCTCTTTTCCTTGTTATTGCTGTCACCCATTTTGTTTGTCTGTTTGGCCAGTGTATATTTATCCACTCCCCAACCTACAAAGACCCCCTCGTTCTTCCCCATTTCCTTGTTGACATGTTTGCCTCCTTCCCCACCAGTCCCATTCATACATACACCCTCTCTTATATGAATATTGCCTATGTGCACACACACACACACACACACACATTGTGCTTTTGTAAATATCTTTGCTACCCTATACAGAAATACACATTAACAAGTGAAATTAGTGTGTACGTGTGTGTTATATATATATATAACGTACACACACACACACACACACACACACACACTTGATACTTTATAAAACCTAACAGGTATGAAAATTCAATTGTTTTGTGTGTAAGCAATTTGCTTAAGTATAAACGTGTGTGTATGCAAATACACACACACACACACACACACACACATTATCATTTACATTCTCTGTGAAGAGCGAAATCCCTGTTTGAACAATTGTTGTTATTATATATATATATATATATATATATATATATATATAAGTTTGAACTTCAAAGTCATCACACATACTTATTTACACTCTTCATTTACAAGGATAGCGTGTATACACACACACACAATTACATTTTGGATTTTCAATCTTACCATTCCTAAGACACACACACACACAGTTAAATAGATATTTGTGCGTGTGCGTGTGTGTGATAAACTTATTTATTCAAATGGACCACATGGCTGATTCTCCTTGTAAGTACTTCAATCCATTTACTCCCAACTCCCTCTCTCGCCCTCCTCCACCTTCTGTTGTTCATCACCACCTCCTCCTCCTCTTTTATTTGCATTGTCAGTCTCTTCCCACCCATCAATGCCATCAAAAACTGACCATTCTCTCTTATTCTAGTTTCTGACCTCTCTGTTTGTAGTGAGAAAGAAGACAAAAAGAAGCTGACCACTGTCCACATGGCTACAATGAAAAAAAAAAAAACAAAAAAACAAAAACCCAAAAACCAAATGGACTTCCCGGTACTGTTATTCAAACAACAAACAAACAAAAACAAAAAACTTCAAATCAGCTTTTTATTTTATTTTATTTATTTTTTTTTTTTTTTTTTTGTCTCTGTCGCTAACTCACTCACTCATTCACTTTTTTTTTCCTGGTTGTCATGGTAACCACTGCATTCTCACAGGAAAAGGAAAAAAAAAAACTCAAAAATAATGGAGAACAGAAATAACAGAAGAAAAAAAAAATGAAAGATTTTTTTTTTTAATTTTATATTTAACTGAAAATAAAGACAAAAAAATTTGTTGCAGCAATGTCAGGTGACCAACTTTGTCTGGTTGACAACATCCTGGATACTCCTCCATGCCTCCCACCCCCATGAATTCCCTGCGCCCTTTCCCCTTACCTTCCTCTCCTTTCATGGTCACTGTCAGACATAACAAAGTCACTAATCCTCACCTACACCAGTTTTTATTTTCATTTATTACAACAACAACAATTATTATTATTATTATTATTATTATTATTGCTATTTTATTCTCCTTCTTCTTCCTCTCTTTCTGATTGTGTTCTTTCTTCTGCATGAAGAGAGGATACCTGTTCATTGTCTCTCAAAATAAAACATTGTTGTCCAAATTTTTGTCTGCCTAGTTCCTTATTCTTTGGAGACAAAACTTGAATCCAAATATGGAACTGCCTAGACAAATCCGGATTAGAATTTCCCACAGAATTGCAGGAATCATGGAACAAAGGTGTCTCTTGTTTTTTTTTTGTTTTTTTTTTCCCTTTAACATTTGTATTTTGTTTTTGTTTGTTCATTTGGACTGCTATTCTCTTACTTTTATTTTTTTTTAAATTTCTAACATTCCAAATTTTTTTTTTTTTTTTATCAGACTCAAAGCCTGGTCTATAAAAAAAAAAAAAAAAACACAACTGGTTTTATATTTTAAGAATTCTGCAGTAAGGGAATGCCAAACATTGCAGAAACTGGAATCATTCAAACTGTGTCTCTTGCTCTCATTCTGTTTGCGACATTTTCACCCCTAACTCTGCAGCCATTTGTCACTGCCAAGGTCATTATCAGCTGATTTGTTAGAAGCAGAATTAGAAAAGCTGGACAGTGGCAAATTAATTTTGGCTGTGAAGTTTGTTTGTTGCTTCCTCCCCACCCCAGGACTCAAGGGAGGTTTTCTAACTTTTGAGAGCCACACACACAAAACTAAAAAAAAAAAAAAAAAAAAAAAAAAGTCTTGTAGCCCTGACAGGATTATTTTCAGGTGTTTTGTCCTTAACGTTTCAATTTTATTCTCTTCAAAAGTTGCAGGAAAACAAAGGACAATGTTACACAACGTTCAAGTTTATTGGTTCATTTTAATTTTAGTTTCCTCACAGAATCAGACTTTTCTTTTAATTCTTCAAGTTTACGATGATCGTCTTTGATAAAATACCATCATTAAACTTTCTTTAAACATTTTAATTCCTTGTATCTTTTACAATTTGTAAATCTATTTTGGTTTAAATATGTTTTTAATAACATGTGCCTGTTTTTCATTTGACCATAACACTTGCATGTTTGGCTTGATTGGAAAGATGAGGACTAATACTCTCATTTTTATTTTTATTTTATTTTCATGTCTATTAATTTGATCAAGCCTCTTTTGATAAATCCATCTTAAATTTAGTAAATTGCTGGCATTCCTTTGTTGACTGCTCCACTCTATATTGCTTGCTTTCAAATAAGACTCAAACACTTCCGGATTTTCCACAAAGATCGACTTTTCCATTCTATTTTTAAAATATACTGGTTAAGCAAGAATAAATCAAATTCAACTGGATTTGCTTATTTAAGATTTCCTTATTTGGTAAGTTGTTGATCCATATAATAAATTGAATCCTAACCTAAATTTACCAACTCGTTATCCCTTAATCAATTTATGACATCCCAATTTAATGTCGTGTATAGAAGAATAGACCCTTGCATGAGAAAATCAAAAATTGCTTTGAGTTTTCACTTTCCACTAAAAATGTTAGTCAAGGGCAGACAACTGTTGTTATCTAAATGGTTAAATCTTTGAAGAGATGCTGGAGTAAAAAGCAAGTTCAAAATAAAATGCAATCAAATGTTTAGTCATGTGATTAAATGTCAAATTTGATATTTGAAAGACTTCTGGTTAGCACTGACAAATTTTGATCTTTAAAATTGTCCGAAAATTATTTTTTAATGGTGGATGGAGATGTACTTTTCTCTCACTTATATTGATGTGTTTTCTTTTAAAGCCCTTCAGTTGTACAAATAGTTTATTTGCTGACCAAGAATAGATAGCACCCACCCCCATAAACTGGCAAAAACCATAACAAAAATTCTAACCCCTCTCCTTGGAACAATCATCTCATATAAAGAACTCGGGCAGCCTAATTGAAAAACTAAGGGAAATGAACATGACAAGCAAACACATGGCCAACTTAGATATCAAAGCACTCTACACCAATGTCCCACTTGAAAAATGCCTAAATCTCCTAAAAAAGCATTTAACACAATCAAAGATAAAGCTCTCTCTACCAACAGCTAAAATAATTAAAATCTACTCTCTATTACTCACCACAGGGAACTATCCCTGCCAGCCATTAGAATGTCTGATGCTCAACTCCACAAGAGCACATTTTGGCGGCTGTCTCACACTGTCCACTGACCTGAGATGGAACAATTACATTGAATCAATTGCTTCATCCACCGCAAGGAAACTTGGTTCCCTGTATCGCGCCAAAAAGTTTTTCTCACTAGAGTCCATCCTTCAAATCTATAAATCAACCATTCGCCCTTGCATGGAATACTGCTGCCATATATGGTCTGGTGTCCCTGCTGTTTGCCTTAAGGTCCTTGACAAGATCTAGAGATGGATATTCAATGTGGTTGGTCCTGATCTGGCATCTCGTCTACAGTCGCTCTCTCTCTCTCACAGACATGCTGTCACCTTTCTGTCTTTTCTACAAATACTTTCATGGTAACTGTTCCGACAAGCTACTTTCGCTAGTTCCCAGACTGCATGAATTTAAGCATGCTACTAGGCTAGCATCACGGTCCCACTCTTTCACTGTCAAAACGGTTAAATGTAGCTGTCGCTTCTACTTCAATAGCTTCATGTCTCGCACTTCCCGTTTGTGGAACTCCCTTCCTATTACTTGTTTCCTTGATAGCTATAATCTCCAACTATTCAAAAGTAATGTCAATCGACATCTCCAGGTGCCCTCCAGCCTTGCTTGGGGTGAAATGCTTAAAAAAATTAAAAATAACAAGACTGACCACAACATAAAAAATGCTACCATGATGAAAGGAGAAAATAATTCACTACAATGTAAATGTCTAGAGAA